TAGAAAAAAAAAAAAAAACAGGAAAGTGTGGGGGGGGGGGGGGGAAGCTATTGCATAATCTCATTTGGCACTTAAGAATAAAAATGAATTATTCAAACTTACAATATTTTGCAAAAGTTCTTTTTTTTTTTTACTCCAGCTGCCATACCTAAGACAAAGTTAAAAAAAAAAAAAAACAGGCAGGAGTAGATAACTTAATGCCCCTCCAGTGTTTTGGACTACAGTTGCCATTAGCTGCAGCTAATATGATTAATGGCCAGAAATTATTATAATTGTAATCCAAAGCAAATGATTATTCACACCCTACCTCACTGAAAGGAGATATTCTAATAAGGTAGAAGCGTATTCTATTATTAGGGAGCAGCACTGTGTAACAAAACATATACTTTTAATATAGGCAAAGTTTAAATTTTGCAAGAAGATAAATAATTTTCAATCCAGTTGTTGATACTTATTTAGCTGAAGATAAATTCATGAAAAATAAAAGCATCTTATAATGTTTATACTGTTGCAAAACATGTACAAGTTAACATGGCAAAAATTATTTATTTTATACCTTAGCTACTCGTTTCTGTCCTGAAATTTGGGGCAATATATACTTGTCAGTAGATTCAGTACACTCAGGAAAAGAATTTGTCTGGATTTTTTGCACTTCAAGACAACTATCTGTAATTCCTAGTGATTCGGCCACCTGTTAAAGACAAAAATGAAAAACTTCACTAAAAGTACCACCCATGGAAAATACCCCAGGTATTTACATAATCATGAAAATATTTGGAGTAACCAAGTATTTTCTCTGTATTTTGCATGTCTGTTGGTTACATGCTAAAGACTTTACACTGTTCCTAAAATCTAATTTAATTATTTACTCAGGGCTTATCAAGAATCTTACTGATAAAAGAAAACCCAAGTTGAGTTGAGGTATGACAATAATATCTGTTTCACTCATTTCAAGAATAGTCCTCCCAGGATGCTTTACATGATATTCATGCATCTTTTCCTCTACATCTCCCAGTTTTTAGAATTAAACGAGATATCAAGTACTGTGGGTTGAGGGTTAGGGTTAGGGTTTGACTAAAAGAATTATTATATAACACTGGAAGGAGAAATCTATACCTGATTGGCCAACGTGCTGCTATGTGTTGTTTGTCAACATTTGAATTAGGATTTTTTTTCTCCAACAAAGGGGCAAGGGAAAACTTTTGAGCAATATGTTAATTTTTGGCATTGTTTTCTTTATGTCACAGCTTCCAGGCCTTTGTTCTTTTTTACTGCTATGTTTATCAGTTTTGAGGTTGTGTTGATCTTTTAATGTTTTTACTGTTCTTTCGTTGATTAGTTCAGCATAGCAAAATAAAATAATACGTATTAATTCAACTTGTTTTTTGTTTAAGCAAATCAATTTGCAGAGATTATTATACAAGTAATAATTGTATTTAGCAATACTATGTGATATTCATACTGTAAGCAAAAGCTCTCATTGGCTACTAGTTTATGTAGCTCACCAGGGCTAACTCTAGTACCAGCATAGTTAACATTGTAGCATTGCTTGTTGGAGAACACAAGTTACTGTATTCATATCCTGCTTATTTTGGAAGACTAAATATGTAGAGTAATTTGATCAAGGAACTTTGCCAACCAGATTGCTACTAATTTTCAATTATTGTTGTTTTCTTTTTTAAGGAAGTACAGTGTCCATCTTACCTACACATAATTTCACTGACAAATCTTTGCTAACAAAAAAAGTCATCTGAATTATTCTTACCTTATGGTTTTTTATCTCTAATGGCTCCTTTAATTCAGAATTATTGAAATAATCTTGGCACATTTTCTTTACCATTGAATGGAGCTCTTCAAACTCCCGGTATACATCTGGAAAGAATGCTTTTGCTTGACATTTTTTCGTTGCCTGGTCAAAAACAAAAGCTATATAAAAATATAAGCAAGCTCACAAATAAAAATTAATTGTACATTTCATTTACAATACACATTTGTACTTTTCTAATACTATTAAACATACTTTTTAAATCTTTCCTTGGAAATCACATATTCTCCTAGGCAATATCACACTTCCCTTGTCGATTTAGATCAATGTCTTCCTATTTGCCTAGAAAATATGGTTTTGTGTAAAATACCAACTTTCAGAGATTTTTAAAAAAAGAAAACACCTACTAGTCACACATAGGAGGACAGTTACTGTGCTAAATAAATCTGATTGGAAAAGCAATGTCTCATTTTTCCATTTTCTGCCTTGCAATTCTTTTGGGTTTAGTTAATCTGGCTGTACTCCTTTTTTTAAATCCCAGTTTAAGACAGTCTAATTTATAAAAATTGACTGCAAATATAATGCATATAATTTTTTATATTAAGATCTGCTATTAAACTTGCCTTCATCAGTAGAAATTCAAATACAGTAACAACTGTTGACAAGCGTGGAACCACCAGCTCCATAAACTCTTCATTGGCACATTGCTGAATCAGCTATAAAAGAACTTAATTTATTTAGAAAAGTCATAAAGTCTTATTACTATCTAGACAAATAAAAATAGTAATAATATAAAGGAACTATACCTCTTTTAGCTTAGCCTTTCTTTTAAATATACTAAGATGCTCTGCTGAGATATTATTAAGAGAATTGGAAGAGAATTGAACAGGTCTGCTAAATCTTCTAGAATATCTTGATCTATTAGCCATCTTTGGTTGACCACATCTTCTCTGCCGTTTGCTTTTTCCATGTCTCAAATGTAATAAATGGGTGCTATATTGTTCTTCAGACTTTCTGTCTTCTGCAGAAATATCAGACTTTAAAAAAAAAAGTTCATTAGAATTGTTTAAAAAGTTTTGTTTTTATGTATTCATTATTCAGTTTGAAATTATAGTTACAAATAAATCTCCAATGTCACCACATAAAAGGCAGTTAAGACCTGTCAAAGATAGCAAATGCATTTTCTGAAATGATAAAGAGTCCCATGCTATCATTGCATTATGGGTAAAAATGTTGAATCCTATAGCATTGTAAATAGCAAGAATATGGTGACAACAGCAAAGTTATGAACTTTTTCAATTGTGAAATGGTAATCTGTAGTTTTTTATTTCATATTTGGCATCCAAGATGATTAGGAAAGTGATACCATCAACACTTCCTGCCCTATCACATGTGGTAAATACTGTTCCCTTTCCCCTCATGCTTCCTAACTTTAGATTAGAATAATTTATGTCCTCATCCACACGTACATGTTAAACAAGCTATGAATACTTTCTCCCCTCCCTGCCCCCTGAAAGTTATTATTCTGGATAAACTTGGTTCTTAAGAAACTCATTTTAAAAACTTTTACAGATTTCAAAAAGAAGTTTGATTTATCTCAGAAGGCTTCTCAGCAATTTATTTAAACTAAGCCCTTGTTACATAGTTCATTTAGTCCAGATACTATTGTTGCTTTTTAAGTTCGATATGGTTACAGGTATTAGCAGAATTAATCAGCTCCTAAGCTAGCAACCTTTTGTTACTAGACACTGAAATGAGTTGATATGATATACAACCTCTGAAGGGTTATCACACAGATACCTGCAGCATTATCACATAGAAATAGGAGTGGACTTATTTATTGCCCCAAAGGTCCAGAATCAGTGGGTTAAAATTAAAAAAAAATAGGTTCAGGATAGATGTTAGGAAGAACTTCTGACTGTGTGAGCTATCAGCCAGTGGAACAAGCCAACAAACGGAGATTTCTCCTTCACTGGAGCCTCTTCAAACAGAGGCTAGATCAAAAATGCTCTAGTGCAGTGTTTCTCAACCTTAGCAACTTTAAGATGAGTGGACTTCAATTCCTAGAATTCCCTGG